CTCCTTTTCCACCTTCTCCTCCTTCTCCTCCTCCTCCTCCTCCTCCTCCTCCTCTCCCTCCTCCTGCTTCCCCTCCCCCTCCCCCCCTCCTCCTGCTGCTCCTCCCCCCCCTCCTCCTCCTCCTCCTCATCCTCCTCCTCCTCGTTCTCCTGCTCCTCCACCAGTTCATGCCCCTCCCCTGCCCCCCCTCCCCATTCTCTCTTTTTCCCTTCGCATCCCATCCCCCCTCTTTATTCTCCCCCCTTTTCCTGTCGCCTCCCGACGCCTCATCCCCCACTTCTGCCGCTTGGCATCGATTCGACCTGCCCCCCAGAAAGCCGTTGCGCATGCGACAAATACGTGCAGCAGGTGTACGACCTATTCGCAGCACTACACAGCGATACGATCCTCCATCACAGGCTGATAGTATTGACTCTCTTGGTAACTGCATCGTTTGGTATTCACGTGGCTGACGGTCATGACTTTGACGATGATGCCAGTCACAGCATATCACATTTTATGCTTGCCAGCGTGGACCACAAGTAGTGTGTTTCTACCAGAGTGGGTCGCGCATTTTAGATGGGGCAATGTATGCGGAGAAACCTGCGTAGTGCAACACATGTTGTGAACTACTTGTTGTGCAATGCATGCTGTGCAATCTTTGTGGAGCAATCTATGTGCTCTAGTCGATGTGGTGCAATACATGCGGTACAATCTATGTGCAATCGACGTTGTGCCATCGAGGCTGTACACACTAGGTTGTACAATTTTTGTGGTGCGCAATCCCCGTGGTGCAACCGACGCGGTGCAATCTATATGGGGCAGCCTTAGTGGTGCAAAACAGGTGGTGCAATCATCATGCTGTGCAATCGACGTGGTGCAACAATTGTGGTGCAAGCTATGTTGTGCAATCTCTGTATAGCAGTATAGGTGGTGACAGATATGATGCAATCTGTACCGTGAAGCTTTGCGGTGCAATCGGCGTGGTGAAATGTGTGTGGTGCAACCTATGTTGTACAATCCATGTAGTGGACTTCGCACATGCTCGCAGTGCGTTGTCAACTCCACTGCTCGCGCAATCATCCCATCCACCCACCCGCAATTGGGTTTGCAAAACCCATGCGGCGGCGATTGTGATGAGTGCTTGGCGTTGGCTGGTGCGTTTCTGCGACCGCGCTGGCCCACGCATGCTCGCGCGCGCAGCGGCCAGCTAGTGCGGCGCGACCGACGCGGCCGCGGTGGCGCTGACCGCTGTGCATTTCCCAGCGGGCGCTTCAGTGCGAGTCGGTGACTTAGGCGGGCGCGGTATCAAGGCGACGCCGACAACGGTCGACACGATGATGGGGGTAGCGATGATGATGACGATAGTGGCGATGACGACGGCGAGGCCAATGACGGTGCCGATGTTGATCGTGCCGCCGATAACGGTGACGATGTCCTCGCGCCAGCGACGAAGGTTTTGCAGGGAGTTCGACATGTGGGCGCGGCCGACGCGCGCGAGTGGCCCGCGTGGTATTATTCGACACTCATCGTGCCCATCCCAGCACGCGCGCAAGGGCGTTCGGATGAGCTCGACATTCGGCGCGAGAGGCCCGCTTGGCAGAATGCGATGGCGATGTTGCAACACTTCCAGTTTTCTTCAGAATGCGCAAGAACACGCGCGCAGGCTTGTTCTGAAAACTGATGTTGCCACCATGTGTTTTTTTTTGTGTTCTGGAAACTCGGTGTTGAAACGCGTAAGCAATCTACGGTGTTTGAATGATTCCGGCATGCGCGCGCTACGGCACGCGCGTGTGCACTTCGTTCCAATTTGCTGCAAAGGGTTCATGCGACAGCACGCGCAGAAGGGCGGTCGAACGATCTCGACACTCGCGCGCGAGAGGCCCGTTTGGTAGCATTGTATAGAACATTTGAAACACCAATGTTGTTTTTCTCAGAAGAATCTGCAAGAGCGCGATCGCATGTTGTATTTTTTTGGTTCAACAAATGTTTCGTGGCACTCGATTTGCAATTCCTACGGGAACTCACGTTTTTGATGGATTTCGGCATGCGCGCGCGACGACGCGCGCGCGTGCACTTTTTTGGAGATTGACGGTTTTTGATTGACGAGCGCGCGCGCATACCATTTTCGCTGCAGAGGAAGGAGGGGGGCGAGCTCCGCTTGGGCTGGGATGATATGACTTCGTATTTCGGATGGACGATAGGGGCAAAATCAAATGACAATTGCGATACGAAAAGGTGAGCGTTTGAATCCGGGGGGGAGAGGCCGGTTCTAATATTCTTTTAGAGATGAGACTATATGTTGTGCAATCTGTGTGGTGCGATCTTTTTTGTACAATCTAGGCGGCGACGGGACGGCGACGAGGTGGCGACGGCGAGCACGGAGCTGCCAGACCGCCAACCGGGCCCACACGACGGTGGCGACGAGGTGGTGACGAGGCGGCGACGGCGAGCACGGAGCCGCCAGACCGCCAGCGGGGTCCAGACGGCGGGCAGTGACGAGGCGGCGACGGTCCGGCAACGGCGAGCACATAGCTGCCAGACCGCCACCCAGCCCCAGACGACGGGCGGTGACGAGGCGGCGACCGCCCAGCGACGGCGAGCACAGAACCGCAAGACCGCCAGCCAGACACAGTTCTTTAGAAGCGCAGTGCGAATCCCTAAGTGCAAGCACTGTTTGGGGAATACTTGTCAAATTTCATTTCAAGGTGGACTTGGCTTCGAGCTTGGGCAAGCAACGGCAACCGTATGATCGCGAACACTTTTAGGCTCTTGGGGGTTTCTCGGGCCGTCTGATGGCGCTCTTGTGCCGTCTGGGCAGGTTCTCTGGGTCCTCGTGGACAGCTGTTGGGCCATCTTGGAACCCGATTGGGCTGTCTTGAAGCCCTCGTGAGGCTCTCGTTGGCCCTCTTGAGGTCACGTTGGAGCCTTCTTGGGCCGTCTTGAGCGCTGACGGGAGTCCGAACAGGTGATCAGCGAAAACCCAATGCAGAAACTGAACGGCCTCTTCGGGAATTCCGTCGAAGCCCTGTCGGGGCCATCTTTGGCCGTCATGGAGCCATCTTGGACCATCCTGGCAGCCTTGGTGGCTTGTTGGGGTCGTCTTGGAAGCCGTCTTGATCATCCTGAACGTTTTCGAGAGCGCGGGAAGAGGCGTCGGGGCTCCCAGGGACCTTCGGGAGAGGGGGGCGATGCGGGCACGGGTCTGCGAGCAGAGGGGGTGGGGGGGTCATACCACGCCTCAACATGCCAGGGGGCACGGGGCGTCGAGTGCACGTGAAAGGAGGAAGACAGGCGAGGGTCTATGTGTATATATATAGTTATGTATATATATACATATTTAAATATGCACATATATATACAGATACGTACACATGTATGCAACACATGTGTGTACACGTGTTCTCTATGTATGTGTATATGTATGTATACATGTACATGGTCATGGGTATATAGCTACAGCGTTGCAGGCCAATACACTTACGCACATGCCCAACCGTAGATTCTTTAGTACACGTATATATACACATCGGTCGTTGTTTATTCATACATACATCCGTATGTAGAGATATGGATCGCGACGCATACATCCATACAACATACATGCATGCACGCATACATACATACACACATGCATGCATGCACATGCTCATACATACAGACATGCGTGCAATCATACACACATAACTATATACATACACGTGTATGTATGTATGTATGTGTGCTTGCAGTCATGCATTCATGCATGTATGTATGCATACATGCATGTATGTATGTTTGTGTATCTGTATGCATGCATGAATGTACGTCTGTGTGTGTGCGTATCCTTGTCTGAACGTATGCATGCATGTGCGTATGTATGTACGTATGTAGGTATGCATGTATGTACGTTTGTTTGTTTGTATGCATGCATGCATGTATGTATGCAGACATGTCTGTATATGCATATACATATATCGATGTAGAGATGTATGAATGTACGTATGTATGCATGAACGTATCTACCTGTGTATGCATGCACGCATGCATGTCTGTATGAATATGAGTACGTGCGTTTGGGTTATGTATGTGTGCATGTGTGTAGTCATGCGTGTGTGCGTATGTATGTTTGCATGTCTGTACGCGTATAGTTTTATGTATGCATGTAGATAACCATGCATGTATGTATGCATATATGTATGCATGTATGTATGCATATATGTATGTGTGCATGCTTGCGTGCATGCATGTATGTGTGTATGTATGTATGTATGTACGTATGTATGTATACATATGTATGTATGTAAATATGTATGTATGTATGTATGCATGCATGTATGTATGTATGTGTGTGTATGTATGTATGTATGTATGTATGTATGTATGTATGTACGTATGTATGTATGCATGCATGCATGTATGTATGTATGTATGTATGTATGTATGTATGTATGTATGTATGTATGTATGTATGTATGTATGTATGTATGTATGTATGTATGTATGTATTGTTGTATGTATATATCTACGAAGCTCCGTATGTATGTATGTATGTATCAATGGATTCGTGCTTGTATGCTTCTATATCCACATATATATATATGTATATGTATTTACGCTTACATAACATAAGGGAGCGAGAGAGAGAGAGAGCGAGAGAGATAGAACGAGAGAACGAGACAGAGAGAGAGAGAGGTAGGGATGCAGGAACGAAGGGAGCGGGTAGGGAGCGAGGGAGGGGCCCCCGGTCACTTTGCTTGCGGCCGATGCGCGACGGTGAGTGTGGGGCGCGAAAAGGGGTATGGTGAGAGACGGGACACTGGCGCGCAGGGTTGCTCGAGGGAGGGAGGGAGGCAGGGAGGGAGGGAGGAGAGGAAGGAGAGGGAGGAGGAGGAGGAGGACAAGCTCGGTGCGCTTGCGCCATATCTGACGTCCTACCCCTCCCTCCCATCCCTTACCATGGCGTAGATATCCTCTCTATTCGCACTGCCGGATGTCGAGCCGGGCAATGGTCGCGAGAGGGTACGCGATGCATGGTGTAGCACGGCATGGCATGGCGTAGAAGAGCACGGCAGAGCGTAGCATGCCATAGCATGGCGTGGCATTGCGCAGTGAATCATTGCATCACAAAGCATTGCAACGCAAAGCATGGCATCGCACAGCGGCGCAGAACACAACACCACACAGCATGTCATGGCATGGCACCAGGTCCCTTGGAGGGCAAGTGGATCTTCGAGAGGTCCAGGCTGGTCTGGAGTCGCGGCTCCATGTCCAGCTCCTTGGGCTACCCGGAAAGCTCCACAGGGCGGGGCTGATGGAGAGATTTGCTTGCAACACCGCCTTATCAAAGCAGAAACGGGGCTCCCGCTTGATACTTCCTAAGAGCGACGACGCCCCAAAGTGGGGGGCTTCTGTGGCCCAAAAATCAACTAATCGACACCGAATGTGTAATTACTTTTGATTGTTTTTTCGGGTGGGCATTTTACATTTTGGAGCCTTTTTTGAAGGAAGGCCAGCGCTGCAGCGGGAGCACGATTCGGAACGAGCGGAAGCGCGGAAATGAGGCCAGCGCTGCAGCGGGAGCACGATTCGGAACGAGCGGAAGCCCGAAAATGAGGCCAGCTTTTCAGAGGTATCAATGTTTTGAAAAAAAGCCAGGCGAAAACTCAACTCCCGGTAATCCTGTGTGTAAAAGACAGTACGCGGAGGGGGGCCGGACATCTTCCAGACGTCATCAGGGAAGAGAGGAGAGTAGTGTTCATGTGGTGTAATTGTGGAGGAGGAGCAGGAGGAGGGAGGAGGAAGATGAGGAGGATGAGGAGGAGGGGATGATGAGGATGAGAATGAGGATGAGGATGAGGATGAGGATGAGGATGGGGATTATGATGCTGAGGATGGTGATGATATGATGCTGATGATGCTGATGCTGATGCTGATGCTGATGATGATGGTGATGGGGATGATGAAGACGATGCTGATGATGATGCTCCTGATAACGATGATGCTGATGGCGGTGATGATGATGAGGATGGTGATGATGAGATGGAGGAGGATGAGGAGGAGGACAGTGTAAAAACAAGAGTCATCAACGATGTTGGAATAAACCCTCCCTCCAAGCTCCCTCTTCACAGGCCCCATACAACGGGTCATCTCCAGTGAGGGAACTGCCTCGTTGGAAGGCAATCGTTTGAAGACCATGAAGCATGTCACAACATTGTTTTCGGGATTACAAAGCCAAGGATCAACTTGAGTGTTGCGTCTTGAAGATCCTGACTCGTGCCAGACCGCCACTCCTGGAGCTTCAAAACCGCGAACCAATGTAGCTGTTGCACTCTCATAGTCCCGAACCCTTCCAGAACGCAGTATCTGATACGCGGACCATGAGAATCGGTGAAACTCGTGCAACTTTGAAAAGCGAATGTGCGCGCCGCTGAGGCGAGAACACTATTTTGAAAAGGAACCGCCCTCAATCCGCGAAGCCCTTACAATTCTTTAGAGCGAATGTGCGCGGCGCTGAGGTGAGAGTCACATTTTGAAAGCCACCCGCCCTCGATTCGCAAAATTCTTGCACATGTTGAAAACGAATGTGCGTGGCGCTAATGCGAGAACCAAATTTTGAAAACCACCCGCCCTCCAGCTGGGAAACTGTTGTCATGATTTGGGCTTCAGGGTAACACATGGTGAGGACGTTTCAGGCGAAACGTCCGGCCCGCCCTAACAACTGGCCTCGGTGTGCGACAGGGGGAAGGTATTTATGGTAGCGGATGCTGATGAGGCTGCTGATGATGATGAGGAGGAAAATGAAGAGGAAGAGGAGGAGGAGGAGGAGGAAGAGGAGGAGGAGGAGGAGGAGGAGTAGGAGGAGGAGGGGGACTCCCTCTGGCGTAGGTCGCGGCCCATTTTCTCATGGATGTGCTGTGGTGCGGGATACTTGGCACGCGCTACTCGGCTACTCGGCTGTTGGCCCCGCACGCGCTATTCGCGTGCCCCCGCCTGGCGGCGAGGAGTGGGAGGATGATGATGATGAGGAGGAGGGGGAGGGGGAGGAGGAGGAGGAGGACGACTAATAAGCATATGAATAGTACAAACAACGCTAAGACTATCAATAATATTCACAATAAGACGAAGAAGGAGCAGACGAATAATTACTATTAGTAATAGTACGAATTCATCGACCACGAATATTACTAGTAATACTGAGTAGTAATAACGACGAGTAATAATACTAAGAGCTCGATCACGAATATTACTAGTAGTAATATTAATGGGAAGAAGCAGAGTGCGAATAGTAATACACTCAAGAAGAGAATACATGCAACCAAATAAGCATAATGCGAATCACATTGTTGACAAGACGGACAGGACTGCAACAAATATTGCGACGACATATAATAGCAATATTAGCTCGAGCATTAACAATTCTAATAGGCGTACGAAGACTAATACTAAGACCACTAATGCCAATAACGCTGATATTGATAATAACAAAAACAATCATACCACCAACAAGAACAGGAGGATAAGGAGGATGAGGAGGAGGAGGAAGAGGAGGAGGAGGAGGAGGAGGAGGATGAAGGAAGGAGGAGGGGAGGAGGAGGAGTATACGAGAGAGGCGGAGGAGGAGGCGCATCCCAGGCCAGGAGAAGGGGGAGGAGGAAGGAGGAGGAGAGAGGGCAGGAGGAAGGAGTAGGAGCGGGCAGGAGGAGGACAAACGGAGTGAGGAAAAGGAGGACGAGGAGGAGGAGGGAGGAGAGGGGAGGGGGAGGAGGAGAGGAGGGGGAGGATGGGGGATATGGGTGAGGAGGAGGAGGAGGAGGAGGAGGAAGGAGGAGGAGGAGAGGAGAGGAGTAGGAAGGAAGCGGAGGATTGGGGAGGCGGAGGAGGTGGGAGGAGGAGAGGAGGAGGAGGCGGGGAGAGGAAGGAGGAGGCCCACGAGGAGGGGGAGGAGGGCGGAGGAGGAACGAGGAGGAGGAGGACAGGGGAGAAGACGGAAGGGGTGGCCATTAAGGGCAAAATACGTATGATCGATGTGTTCGGAGAGTTTCGCCGCCGCACCGGCGCACGACCCTTGGGAACGGGGGCTAAGGGGTCGGGGCGCTAGGCGCGCGGGCAGGGAGCTGCAGTCTCCTCTCTGGCCACTCGTTGGACAGGTGCTGTCCGCCATGCCCAGCATAGGGATAGTGATATGTTCCAGGCTGGTAAGCAGGTGCTGTCCGCAATGCTGGGCGGAGAGCTGCAGTCTTTTCTCTGACCAAGCAACTCGTCACTTGACAGGTTCTCCTCGCAGCTGTGCCTTCTCTTCTCACATGTCTCACGCTGCTCCACGCGCAAGAGCTTCACGCCCCCCACGCGGAACACCTCCCTGAAGCGGCAGGAGATCATGCAGTCGTGCACGATGGTGGCGTCGATGTCGTCTGCCTCCATCTGGAGGACCACGTCAGCCATGTCGACGCCCACGTCCTCGCCGCCCTCGGTGGTGAGCATCTTGACGAGGAGCTCCTCGACGTCGAAGTCCTCTTCGCTGGTGGTCTCGAACGCCCCACACCCCTCGTGCATGGCACCGGATCCCCTGTAGTCGTCGAGCTTTATCTGCAGCTGGTGGGGGTGTGCTCGACTTGGCTGCCGACGGCGATCACTTCCAACGCCTGGCTTTCGAGGGCCACCGAGCAGATCGTCGCCCCGCAACTGCAACACGAGCGCCTTATGGTTCCACCCGAAGGCCTTTGACCAGAAGAGTGTCTAGCATCGGGCGTCAGAATTGGACACATAGAAATACATGTGCTGAGGGGGGTCTCCGACATGAGTCTCGGCACGTGCGCGTTCGGCACGTGTTTTCACGTGCTTCTGGCAGGGACGGGGCCGGAGGCGAGGGACCCAATTTGGGCGCGTCGGATATGGAACACGTGACAATACGTGCGCGGAGGGGGAGGGGGGCAACATGCGCCATGGTGCGTGCGCGCGGGGCGCGCGTTCTCATGTGTCCACGGCCCCCAGGGGGATGTCTGACTGGGCTTTTCGGATTCTTTACACGTGACAATACGCGCGCGGAGGGGGGGGCGACCCAACTTGCGCCTGGCGCGTGTGCGCGGGGCACGTACTCTCACTTGTCCACAGCTCCCAGGGGGGTATCCAAGTTGGGCGCGTCAGATATTTTCAACTGCGCGGTGGGGGGGACCCAACATGCGCCTGGCGCGTGCACGCGGAGCAAGCGTTTTCACGTGTCCACGGCCCCCAAGGCGCGACCCAATTTGGCCGGAGGACACAGGAGGAAGGAGGAAGGTGGAAGGAAGGGGGAAAGAGGAGGGAGGAAGTGAAAGGAGCACAGGAAGGAGGAGGGAGGAGGGAGGAGGGAGGAGGGGGGAGGAGGAGAATAAGAAGGAGGAGGAGGAGGTGTAGGAGGAGGAGGAGGAGGGGGAGGAGAATGAGGACGGGGAGCAGGAGGAGGAGGAGGAGGAGGAGGAGGAGGAGGAGGGAGGAGGAGGAGAAGGAGGAGGAGAAGGATGAGGAGGATAAGCAGGACGTGCAGGAGGTAGCCAAGCCACGGGAAAGTGTTTCACGCGCGTCAGAAGAACGTTTGACTGAATTTCATTACCGGGTTCGTCCCCGCAATTTTGCTCTTCAATGTGGCCGCCTTCGCGAGCAGACCTGCACTGAATGCATTTGTATACCACAGCGGGTTGCTCTCTCCAGGATCTCATCGGGCCCGCCAGGGATTTCCCTCTCCATCTCCGCCCTCTGCCAAGCTCTCTGGCTCAGCTTCGTTCGCATCTTTGGTGAGATCGTGCCCCGGCGGGA